CGGAATGCAGATATGTAGAATAAGGAGTTTGCGCGACGAAGTATCATTTTCGTCGCGCAAAATATCATCGCGCAAAACAACTTTTTCGTCTCATAAAATAACTTTTTTTCGTCGCGCAAAGACCTGTCAACATCAGAATTTTGCGCGATGAAAAGATATCATTCGTTGAGCAAATCTCGTCGCGCAAACCCTAAACGGCGTCGCGCATACGCAAATCTCCGTCGCTCGAGAACTTGCCGACATCACACTTTGCGCGACGAACCCTATGTCCGTCGCGCAATCATTTGCCGCCAAAAAATAACCTTTTTTCGTCGCCCAAAGACCTGTCAACATCGGAACTTTTACGCGACGAAATTTATAACCGTCGCGCCAGGATTTCTTGCGCGACGAACTATATCGTCGCGCAAATGTATGGCGCCAAAAAAAATAACCCGAGTTTTTCTTCCCCACTTTGCACGACAATTCGTTTGTTTGTCGTGCTAAGCATCTTTGCGTGACTACATATTTCGTCGCGCAAGATTTTGTAGTTTTGCACGACGAATTTGTTATTCCGTCGTATCAGTGATTTTTGCGCAACGAATTTGGCTTCGTCGCGCAAAGTCTAGTCGCGCAAATAGTAAAATGTAGTAGTGGTTATAACTCGTATTAGAGAATCTAAAAGAGTAAAAGTCTTTTTTGTCACTCAACTACTCCCCACATGCCCTAAATTTAACGAAAAAATTGACAGAAGTAAAGTTAAAGGACCACGGGTACCATTTTGGAAAGGGTAAACAGCCGAAAATCCCTCTGAACTATAACGCTTTTCGAAATGTCTACCATGAATTATTTTTTCAGCCAATTTAACCATCAGACTATTTTAAATGGTCAATTTACCCCATGCCGTTAGTTTTCATCCATTTTTCTGTTTAAATGTCACATATTAGGCACGTGACTCGCGATTCAATTAAAATTTAATATTTTTAAGTTTAAAATAATTAAATTGTTAAAACTACAAAACTTTAAAAAAATAAAAAATAAAAAATAAAAGAGAAAGGGGTAGAGCTTGATCGACATTGGGGCTTTTGGGGCTGAGAATCTGACTTTTACGGTGTGAAAACGCTCCGTTTCGTCGGTGTATGGGGCTAGAGGGAGCTTGGCGGAGAGGACTTTTCCCAGGATTTGTATATGGGAGTATGATGGGGAGGCTTCGATGTTCTACAGAAACGGCAAAGGTTTCGATCGAGATAGGATTGGCGAGTTCTGGCGAAGTCCCTGTTGTTTTTCTGGCGAGCCCAAGAAGCCGGGCCAGACCATATCAAACGGGTATAAGAACTAAGATTTGATGCTCAATTTTCAACTGGGTATTAGGTACTTTTTTTTATTTTTCTGATTTTTCGATTTTACAAGTCGTGGAGTGATTTTTTGCTTATGGGTTTTCTGTATCAATGGAGGCTGGTGTTTGATGTTGTGGAGTTTTTGGTTCTTCTTATTTGATTGTGAGTGTTGTTTGGGCTTTGTTATAAACATCTGCTGTGCAGACACAGCTTTACCGTATGACTGAGCACTTCTTGAGGAAAGCAAATCTTCCTGTGATCCGTAGAACTGTAAATACGGAGTTAGCTGTTGCAGATGCAATTCTGTCACGTCTCACAGCTTCCACAAAGGCTTCATGAAGTTCTTGTGTCCATCTCATTCTGGTGGTTGGGGCAGACCTGGAGAGAGAGAGGGAGAGAAGAAAGAAAAGAGAGAGAGGAAGAAGGAAAAGGAAAAAGAACGAAGAAAAAGAAAGAGAGAAGAAATCATTATTTTACATTTTCTTTATTATTTTTTGGTATTGTTCTTGTAAAATGACGAACTTACCCTTCAAAATTTAACGGCAGGGGTTAAGTTGACCATTTCAAATAATTTGAAGGCTAAATTGGCTGAAAAAATAATTCGGGATGGACATTTCGACAAGGGTTATAGTTCAGGGAGGGTTTTTGGCCGTTTACCCTTTTGAAAATTGAGGTACTCAAATGCAAATCGGGTTAAAATTGGATGACTAATAAAACGATTAACCCTATTGGTATCGATTGCTTTGGCTTCTCCAATAATATATATAATTAGTAGTTTAAACATTTCACTCAAACAAACCCTACTATTCTAATTCAAAACTTTAAAATAAAGAAAAATAAATCAGTTTTCCAATCTCTGCACTCACAGCCGTCAGCCAAAAAAACACTAATGGAAACCCAAGGGGGATTAGCCTATTGCACAAATGCAAAGCAACCCAGCCAAACTTCGACAATTAGGTTTGTGAAAAACACCAAGTGAAACATATAATAAAACCAATACTATATAATTAGGAACAAATTACCGATAACTATTTTATTGGTCTAAATAAGGGTTCTATTATCATAAATAACTAGCTATATGCTCCCTAAATTTGTTAAATTCTCATTGTAGTTGATAATATAAAGCCAAAGAAAACAAACCCAGAACGTATGAACAAAGAATTAAGGAACTTAATCCTAATCATATCACTTTAAGCTGTTCCAACTTCAACTAAGGCCTACGTCAACCCTTTTTTTCTTCAAATCTAATCCAAAAAACCCATAAGTTCTCAACAAAAAAAGAAGAAAAAAGTTGAATTTAAATTGTGGGCATTGTCTGATTCATACCACTTGAGAATTAAGCAACAACATAGAAAAAAAAAATCCATTGAGATTAATTGATAAATCCCATCGATTGGAGAAGTTCATCGAAACTAAAATAATTTCGAGAATCTTATTTGAAACCTTAATAAAACGTTTGAGATTACCGACCCAAACTTTGAGGAATTTGGTTTTTAATATATATTTTTTCCTTTTATCGAGTAAGAAATAATTAACATTGTTGAAAATGGAGTGCAAGTTAGAAAATTAAGTATAAAGAAAAAGAAATAATATAAAAGTAAAGTAAAAAGAAATTAATATAAAGTAAGAGTAGAATAGGAAAGAGAAAGAAAAAAAAGAACAAAATTGATAAAAAAAAATATTTTAAAAAAAATGTAAGTGAACAAAAGAGCAGTAGGAAAATGAAAAAATAGAAACTATATTTGGAGTAACATACAAAAAATTGTGAATGTTATGGTGAATGTTATGTAGATATATATATATATATATATATAAATTCAAAAATAAAATAAAATAGAACATACAAAATCCAAAAATAAAAAATAAAAAAAGAAAGGAAACACATGCACTAATATCATTAAGTGGGGTCCAATGTATGCGTGGATAAGGTTTGTGTATGAGAGAGGTAGCAAAATTGTGTGTTGTGGAGAAACGAAAAAAAGTCGTGTCATGATTAGAAGGGTATTAGAGATAATTTTAGAAATAAATAACCATCAGCTTTATTGAAAAAAGGACCGTGAAGTAAAATTTCAAAAGTACTGTCCTTAATCAAGTGGGGTCTCATTTTGGAGTTATTAATCATTTTCTCACTTTATATTCAGGCATTTTATTTGTTTACAACAAAAAGATGCAAAAAAGATCCTTTCAAAATTCAAACCTAGGGGCAAAATCATCCAAGTAAGCTAAAATTTCTCAATCCAGAAGAAATTTCGGTGAGGTTTGTCTAAGATCATTATATTTTACGTGTAGTTAAGATCGTTCGGTGAGGTTTGTCTAACCTGCCAGTGCACGTTTTGTGACTCTATAACAGTTCTTATTAGCGTCTGAGTGCCCATCATCACAGCTCCAATTGACGTCTTTATACACATTATAAAGTATAATTATCCTTAAGTAAGAGCACATCATGGACAAACATAAAACATTTGCTCAATTAGATCTGTACTTCCAAGAGCCCAAAGGTTTTTTTTTTTTTTTTTTTTTTTTTTTGAAATAAGTACGTACCTATTCATGAAAGGGGCAAAAAACAATATTGCATCATGTGCATCTTGCACGTATAGAAATACCACTGTCATTGTGTTTTTGATGTTTTAAGTTTTTAATGCACACAACAAAGAAAGTTTGCATTAAAATATTTTAGTGTTTATTGTCAAAATGTAGGCCTTGTATTGTTAGTTTAGTTGAATTAAATTACTATATTTAAGCAAAAAATCATGTGCAGAAAAATTAATTTTTACATTTGGTTAAAATAAATAAAAACACATCAGATGGGAGAGGGCTGAGTATAGTTATACCATCCCTGTCCTCGTCCTTACTCCCCATCATCGTCCTCGTCCTCGTCCCCAGTATGAAATTTCAGGGAATCCCCGTCCCCATCCCCATCGGGGGATTATATCCCAAATCCGGCCCGAATCTCTGATTATATATTTAAACAAATATAAAAAATGTACATATTACACTTCAATTTCACCTTAAACTATCATTTAACTTAATTAAATTCAATTGAACTATAAAATTTCACTCAACTACTCAAATTCATTTCAACTCAATTTGAGAAAAATAATAAAATAATAAATTTTTCTTAGAGAAAACGGGGTAAAAATTAATGAAACTAATACAACATAGTGTTTTCATCAACAATTCATCATCAAGATGAATGTCCACACTCAATTGGAAAACCCAAAAAACTTGCGCAAGAAAGGGATATGTGGCTGTACATACAGCTACTAAATTACAACTGCCATGCTACTTTAATAGACTAATCTAACTTAACTTAATATTATTTAATTAGTTATTTATACATTAAAACTTTTTAATTGTTATATTATATTATGTTATATATATTTATTAATTTAAAATAAATATATCATTTATTGAGTCGAATCCAGAGATGAGGATAACAATATCATCCTGTCCTAACTAGATATTTTTTTAATTGAGATCCCCGTGCCCCCTCCCATTTTCCCCGTGCCCACTTTTTCAGCAATAAACAGACCCATAGCAAGATGGAATCTACTTTTTCGAGTTTTCAGAGCAATAACCATAGCAAGATTTCTAAGCAATAATTTATCATCTCTCTCTTCTAGTACATCTGAGCTGAGCCCCAACCCACCACCACACAATCGAATTAATTCTAGATGTGTTGTTTTGATTAAGCTAGCATATACCAAAATAAGGCCATTATGGCGTCAGTTTCAGCAGACCTCTTCATTGGCAAATTTGTAGCAATTCTCGACAGTGAAGCAGCCTCCATAGCGGGTGTTGCTGATAAAGTTGATGAGATTAAGCGGGAGCTGGAATTCATGAAAGCCTTCTTAGCGGATGCTGACGGGCGCAACAAAGCACACACACAAGTAGAGGAGGTGTGGATCAGAAGCGTTCGAGACCTGGCCAATGATGTTAAAAACATCATTGATGAATTCATGTATCACGTGTACGAGCAGCAAATTGGCGGTCGATTTGCCCGGTGGATCCACAAACCCATTCAGTTTCCAAAGCACCTTTGGTATAAGCGTAAAATAGCCAAAAAGTTGCAGAAAATTGCGATTGCAATTAGAGCTATTCCAGAGAGAAATCAAAGATATGGTGGTGGTGCAGCTGTAGAAGGAAAAAGTACTTCTTCTGAGGATATTCTCAGATGGGTGCAGAATCAAGCGGAGTCTTCTCTTTATCAGAAGGAGGATGAACTTGTCGGGATTGGAGGCCATAAGAACATGTTACTGGGATGGCTGAGGGATGAAGCCAAGCACCAAACTGTTGTGTCCGTGGTCGGGATGGGAGGATCAGGGAAGACAACTCTAGTTGCAAGGACCTTCACCGACGACGTTGTGAAGAGTCATTTCGAATGCTATGCGTGGATTACTGTTTCCCAGTCTTATGTGATTGAAGACTTACTTAGAAGATTGATCAAAGAATTCCACAAAGCAAAGAAGGAAGCGGTCCCTGCAGACATGAATGCCATGAGTTATAACGAATTGCTGGAGATTTTG